CTCCGGAGGAACAAGGGAGAAGGATACAAGGCCTTCTTTGCCCGGTGGGAGCTCCAGGTCAGGAAGCTCAATGAACATTCCGTTCAGCTACCTGATGAGTATTTGGGTTTTCTCTTAATAAATGCCCTTCAGCTGACCCAAGGCGACATCAAGTTGATGATGAACTATACGCAGGGCAAGCTGACACCACGGGTGGTCAAGGAGTGGACTCGGGTGAACGAGTCAGAACTTGCATGGCGAACAGGTGATGCCACTGCAGCCAAGAAGCCCAATGCGGTGATGCACCTGGGTCAGCAAGGTCCTGGCGGAGAGGACGACGAAGACGACATCGAGGATGAAGAGCTCGAGATCTTGTTGAATGCCATGGAGCAGCTCGAGGAGCCGGGAGATAGCCAGATCGAAGGCGACGAGATCTTTGATGAGGAAGAAGTGAAAGAAGTCTTGGCGACCATGGTCAAGAACTACGGCAAGGGAAAAGGAAAGCGAAGTTTCAAGGCTGTCCACGACGCCAAGAAGGCCAAAGGCTTGGCTCGTGGATACGGGATCAACCGTGACCCTTCCGGCCGGTTTGGATCTCGCGGTGCCCCTGGAGGAGTTCTTCGTACTGGTCAGCCTTACAAGGTTTCCATCGAGCTGCTCAAGCAAAGGACCCGATGCAACGCCTGCCAGAAGGTGGGTCATTGGGCCCGCGAGTGTCCCGAGAAGGACAAGATCAACGCGGCGAAGGAGACGCACTACCTTTAGGATGAGACCGAGGAGGTGCTCTTTTTGCATTACCTTGACTTTCTGAAGGAGCAACAGGGTGACACCCAGGATAGCACCTCCGGCACGAACATCCTCGGCCCAGGTATGAGCGCCTCTTCCAGCGAGTTTTGTAGCAATGACCAAGGACGGCCCGGATCCAGCCAGTCGATCGAGCCATACACGTGTCCTGCATTAGGCCTTCCACATGAAGTGCTGTCAGTAGAGAGGATTGAGCCCAATGATGAGTCACTATGTGCGACGATAGATACCGGTTGTCAAAGGACTGCTGTTGGCCAACATACTTTAGAACAACTTCTTCAACATCAACCAGAAGGTACCAAGGTTCACATTAAGGATGAGGTTCACCTGTTCAAGTCCGTGAACGGCCTGTCGCGTACCTCTAAGGTTGCCTGCGTACCAGCAAGCTTGGGGCCCCGAGGTTGCATTCTTCGTCCAGCAGTGTTCGATGAAGGTCAGAGTTCAAAGGCCCCGTTTCTCATCTCGCTGCCGTTCCTTCTTCCTTCACCGACTTGATTCTTTCCCAGCTTGTAATCTTCGGCAATCTTCCGAATGTTTTCCCAATGATCTTGATCACCTCCATGTAGAAGATCGTCTGTGGCCACTCCAATGATCCCCTTCAGGATCGTTGATTGACCTTGGTCATCTGCTTCATGAAGGAGAAACACGCAAGGGTCGGCCTTGCTCATCACATAACCGTCGTTCCTCAATCTGCGAGTGAGGTGTTGGTACCAAGCAAAAGGTCCATCGGTCAGGCCGTAGCAAGTCTTCAAGAGCTGGAGAAGTTGTTCTCCATGAAGTCCTGGGATTCCCTCCTTCGGCTGGGTGCAATATAACTCTCGGTTGATCTGGTTGCCGGAGTGAAAAGCCTGAGTAAAGTCGAGGAACCCGGGACTCCATCGCGTACTTGCCAAGACCTGGGCCACGAAGATGACTGAATCCCTGCTCACCTGAGGCGTCGCGCTCTCCACATCTAAAGTGCCTTCCTCGGAGAACCCCTGCATGACGTGTCTGGCCTTCGCCTTCGCTGGACCGTGCGACTTATCATCTAAAAAGGACCCCCTCGGACTCGGCTTTGGGAACTTCGCTCGGCTCTAAGGGCTTCTTCGTTAGAACATATCTGGAACCCATGACTTTCTCGGGCTTCTCCTGCTGGATCTTGCGGGACTCGTCTAAGGTGAGGACCTTGTAGGCACCGGTCTGCGAATTGTTGTTGATCTCCTTGAGAATCGCCTTTTGCAACCTTGCTGCGTCCTTGCCCACAAAGTCATGTAGCTTGGCTTCTTTCTTCTGGCGCTGCTTCGCCAGATTCGAGATATTCACGTGGTACATCTCAAGGAGGTGGAGGCGGCTCCGTTTGCCGCCGGGGTCTGGAAGTTCGTCTCCTTCGCGTTTTCTATCAGACCCCATGCGACACCTGCGAGCCGGAGGCTTGTTCCGTAATCTTGCATCTTCAGTCAGCCCAGCCCAGCCAGCGCCCCCAGCCTGTCCCAACCGGCCAGCGCCAGATTCAAAATGTGGTTCCAAAAGCAAAACTTTCGGTCAAAACTTATTGGCAGTCAAACCCGCAACAATTTCTATAAACCCCAAACCCTAAACCCCCAACCCTACAGGAGTCTCAGTCAGATATTCAAAGGCCCACAAAAAGAAGCCCTAAAGAATAGGATCGCGTTTTAGAAAGACTCAAAACTCGGGGGGAGCCCCAGGCTAACAAAGAGTCATCTGGGTATTTTTTTAATAGGGGTCCCCTTTTAGGGTCCTTTTCGTAAGGGTGCCGTACTATTTTGGGGACTTAGACAGGCCCTAATTTAGAGAACTAATTATCGAAATCACTGATCTCAAGCTTTCGACACCCAAACACAGCGCAATATGGGGGTAGTGCGGCATGGTTTTGTCACAAAGCCCTTAACCTGGCTTCTCCTCGGCAGAAACCCTACAACCCTCAAGCCCCCTTTAACGGCCCCTATACTAAACCTATAGTAGACCCTTATAAAGGACCCGCAGCCCTAAATGCGCAGGCATTGGCCGTGGATCCTTTGGCAAGGCGTACCTGGTTGAGGTGGTGAGGCCGGCTGGGGCTCAAAGGGTTCGGTTAAAGGTTCAGGCTTCAAGGTTTCAACCGGCTGAAGTAGGATAGGGGTAGTTCTCTAAATTAGGGTCCCTTTTTAGGTGGTCCCCAACATAGTACGGCACCCTTATAAAAAGGACCCTAACAGGGACCCTAGTTTAGAGAGCTACCCATATAGGATTTGAGGGGGGTGGGAACTTTCTTGGTTTCATAAACCCTAAGCCGGAAAAGCCAGGCTTGTGGAAGGAGCTGTGGTGGATTCCTATGTTATGTGCTTTTGGTACAGCACCCAAAAATAGCCTCTTCCGATAATGAAGGCTATATCAAACCTCGATCTGCGCTAGCTCAATCATCCTTTCTTCCTCAGGCACTTTGAAGAAGGCTCCTCAATTAGGATTCGGAGTTTCTGGGGGTGGGAGTGCCTCAGTCTTGAAGTCACTGTTAACTTGGGGTGGGGGGGTTTTGGGGGGTCTTGGGGGGGGGAGCTCCCACGTTTGGTTTCGTGGTTGGAGGGTGGAAAGCTCCGTATGCAAACACTGCAGCACTTGTTTGTGTATTTGATCATCGTCTTTGTTTTTGTGCTGCTACAAGTGGAAAGAATATTCGGAACAAACGTAAGAAGAGTCAGAGTATGGGTCGTAATAGAAGTAGTGTTGCGAAAAGCCGCGATGGTAGAAGTGCGCAATGGCTTTGCAACATCTATAACTATGCAGTGACCTGCTATGCGCACATGTACACGGTGGTGTACACAAACACACATATACATATACATATACACATACATGCATGATATGTATGTGTGTGTATATATACATATAGACATATAGACATAGACATGTACATATACAGCTTACATCTACATGTACATACGCATATGCAGATACATATGCATATTTGTATACAGATACACGTACATGTACATAGTGGGCACGTGTACATATGCGTCTTCATAGAGAGCAGAAAGCGTCCCCGAGGCAAAAAGATGAGAGAGAGGGAATGAATGAACGAATGTATGTATCCATGCATGTTTGTATGCATGCATGTACGCACGTATGCATGTATTTATGTATTTACGTACGTATCTACTCATGTTTATATGTGTGTCGGCATGCATGTGTTATGTATGTATGTGCATACACTTCGCCAAGTCTTTCGTTTTTTTATGTGCGTTTTGATTGAGTTGTTCTAGTTTGTATTAAGAACTATTCATGTAGATATGATTGCGGTTTGTTGATATCTGCTTACATCTACAAGCGTGAATATACGTTCGGATGTATATGTAGGTACATATGTATGCAAGTAAATGAATAAGTAAGCAAGCAAGCAAGCAAGCAAGCAAGCAAGTAAGCGAGCAAGCAAGTATGTATGTGCGGGTACGTGTATGTAAATGCATACTTGCATGTACACGTATCAACACACCAATGAGTATGTGGCATGTCTTCATGATTGGTGTTCTCCCTGCGAAGCCATCTGAAGCCAAAAATTGCGACAAAGTGACGCCAGGGCCGGCAAGAAGAAAGCCGACACAGCCAGCTATCGCGTCGCCGCCTATACTTTAGGGTCCTTAAGGTAATGCAGGATTTATATCATCAACAGTACTTTCTGGTTTGGGGGTTTAGGATCCAGGATTCGGGTCAGGGCGTCGTTCAAAACTTCAGGTGCCCTCGCAGAGCAGTGCTTGTGAGGTTTCTGCTTAAGGGTGGTTCTCTAGATTAGGCTCGCTTTTTAGGTACCCGATATAGTACGTTATAAACGGGACCTTAAAACGTAAACGGACCCTCACTTAGATTACTACCCTTAAAGTCACAGCCTCCAGTTGTCGGCTGCGGAAGAATCCCCTCCCGAACACTGAGCCACTGAGCCTCGACCCCAAAGAGTCGAACATAGAGGGCTCAGAAGCGCAACTACCAAAATCAGAAGGAGCCGAATCCCAGCGGATCGAGAAAGCAAGACAGCCCTTTGGAATGAGAAGAGCAGAGCCGAGCTTAAAAGTAGTATGGTATAGAGTATATAGTATATAGTGTATTTATAGTATAGCTCGAGAGTAGAATGGTATAGTATATAGTATATAGTATATAGTACGTACTATATAGTATATACTATATAGTTTTTAGTACATAGTATATACTCTTTGGTATGGTATGATACCATCGTAAGAAGAGCTCTTCAGGTGCTGAAAAAGCTGCCGCTTCTCGAGGTCAGCGAGGCGCCGGAGAGAGGTCAGAAGGGAGGTGGTATTTAATATAGGGGCCTAAATAATTAATTACCTATATTGTTTTGGGGGTTCCTTATAATCAATGTAGTATAATGGGCCCAAAACCCTCTTCTGATTATGAAGGCCCCTATTTAGGGCTTTAGGGTTTTACGGTTTGGGCTTTAGGGTTTAGGGTTTTGGGGTTGAGGGTTTTAGGGTTTTAGAGTTTGGGTTTTAGGGTTTTAGGGTTTGGGGTTTTGGGTTCTTGGGTTTTGGGGTTTTGGGGTTTTAGGTTTAGGGGTTGAGGGTTTTAGGGTTTTGGGGTTTGGGGCTTAGGGTTGGGGTTTAGGGTTTTAGGGTTTAGGGTTTCGGGTTTGGGGTTTAGGGTTTGGGGCTTTAGGGTTTTAGGGTTTTGGATTGATGTAGTATAGTAGTCTAGTAATATTGCAACACAATAATATGCTAATATGGTAATGTTGAGAGAGGGTAATATACTATTATGGTACCAATGCCGTAATATGGGGTAATGCTGGCAGTGAATGAAACCAAGATATTCCGCATGTCTCACTTCAAAACATTAGGAGAGACACACGCTGGTTTCCGTGTGCTGGGCTTTTGGGAACTCGTGTGATGCAAACCCAAGAAACCCGCTAAACCCCTAAGCCCAAACCTCTACATCCCTACCCCCTTAAAACCCTAAACCCAAACCTCCATAGCCCATAAACCCTAAACCCCTAAACCCCTTAAGCCCTAAACCCCGAAACCCCTAAACCCCTAAACCCTAAGCCCAAAACTCCATAACCCCTAAACCCCTATTTGCCTTGCCGCTTCGGCGAGGCCCAAAGAGAAGGTGCTTTTCGCGAAGCGCAGCTGATGCGCAAGATCTCCCGAAATTGCCGCATCTTTCGCAAGAAAGCTTCGGACCCTAGGTGCAGGTTGAGAAAACCCCTGAGTCATGGCAACAGTCATGGTGGCAACCCAGTAATGTAAGAACCTGATTTAAGAAACCCTGGCCCTATAACCCCAACATATTAGGGCTCAAGAATAAGAGCCCTAATACACGCCCAAGGCTTCTTAATCAGGTTCCTACATTACAGTCACAGCGCCGTGTTGGCAATGAAGCGCGGGCAATGTAGCCAGGCAGTCACAATACAAAGGTGCTGAACAAGTTGGGATACAAGTCGGGCAACTGTAAACTCCGCTTGAGATAGCTATGTCCTTACCTGTGAATACCCCTGAACCTTCAAGTAGCGAACCCGATGAGTCCCTTAATATCAGCAGGAAGTCGTCAAATCCTCAGTTTCATGGGATGGTTGCCGGTTTCGTCTCATGTCTACGTGGATTATTTGCAGGATTTCTTAAGCAAAATCCTGCTGCTCGAAGCTAGGAGTTCAAATGTCACAGACATCAAGCACCGAATATGAAGAAGCAATAACCATGGAACATAAGAACAACACCGTGACTACTGACTAATTGTGCACCAATGCATCGACAGTGGTGGTCGTGTGCATTGTCCACGCATACAGTGCCAGCAAGCAGCAGCTACGAACTTTCGCATACGAAGTCTGCAAGTCAAGGATCAAACTCAGCACCACCACCACCACCACCACCACCACCAGAGCAGTAAGTACACGAGTACAAGAAGAAAGCAGCCAGATAGCAAATCAGCCGAGCAGTAACGAGGGGAAGATCACGAGCTCCGACAGAAATGGCACCACCAAGCCTGCCACCATCATCCCCGTCATCAGTTTAGGGTTTAGGGTTTAGGGTTAGGGTTTAGGGTTTAGGGTTAGGGTTTAGGGTTTAGGGTAAGGGTTTAGGGTTTAGGGTTTAGGGGCTGTGAGTCGCGATGACCCAACTGGTCTTGCTCCAGCGAATATAGCAGAACGAGAAAGGATGCATTAAATCTGACGAGTAACCCAACCCACTCTGCGGAAGAAGGGCGGCTAGAAGGCCCCATCGAGGTTTCCGAGAGACCCCTAAACCCCTTAAACCCCTAAACCCTCTAAACCCCTCAACCCCTAACCTCTAAACCCCAAAAACCCTAAAACCCCCTAAACCCCTAACCCTTAAACCCCGCAGCAAGAGCTCCTTGGAAAGAGTTATCGAAGGCGTGGATCGCTGTTCCTTGCCGCGCCAAAATCGAGGGGAATTAACAGGTCTGAGGGTTTAGCATTCATTTAGGGTTTAGGGTTTGGGGGTTTTGGGTTTAGGGCTTTAGGGTGTAGTGCTTAGGGTGTGAGTCATGGCTTAAGGTTCATATTGGGTGTGAGTTTAGGGTTTGCTCCAGAAGCTTGAGAAGTTGGTACGGCTAGTCAGCATCGAAGCCGCCGTATGTAAGCAGGGTCAGCATTATCAGGGCCTGAAGAGTTCCGAATTAAGGTGGGTTGATGCATCTATACTAAACCCTAAACCCTAAACCGTCATGCCCCAAGAGCCGACTCCAACTACGAAGACCCCATCTTAGCCTTTAAGCATTGGAAATACCATCCGAGGTCCTTTCATCACTCAGTTCCACGAGGTGCGCACCTAGTCCAGGGTTTATGCTGGGTTTGAGGACTTGGGTGGTGGGGGGAGGGTGGTCAGGCTGGTTGTAGGAGCTGATACGGTTGATGATATACATCCTGCATTACCCAGAATAAGGAATATGCCATAGTTACCGTAGTTTAGGGTCCTTAAGGTAATGCAGGATTTATATCATCAACAGTAGAACTTGCGGTGCTAGAAGGCAGCTCCAGTCGTACACATGGGCCCCTTCGATCTTTCGAGTCCACCTGGATAGTTTAGTAGGTACCAGACTACTCCCCTATAGTGTCCACATAGTTCGAGTTTTGTAACATCGCAAAATCCTGTTCCAATCACATAAATCCCCAATGCTGCAGCGTCCTTAGTGGGGAAGGCTCCACCGAGTCGCAGCGACGTACGTCGCGGAGTGTCCATCTTCCTCGTACGACTGCTGGTCCTCTCAACAGTCGCAAAAAAGATACGACTAGTGTTCGTTTACCTGCGTGGTTGTGACTACTTCAGGGTGGGGACAGCCCCCAACCCCAAAGATTAGAATCCCTGGATACTTGCAGAGCTTGCAAGAGGTGCTGCTATGCAGAGGTGGCACCGTCCTTTGCCTCATTATGGAGCATCTTGACAAGACTTAAGACTTTACGTCACGGTGTGGATGCCTTTTTCTTGAAACTGCTACTTGCTTGGCCCATCGGCCGGGCTGTCGGACATCTCCATGTAGCGCATGTTGTGTTGGGGTCACCATCTCATCCTTCAGGCACTGCCACAGGTTGCATACAATATGGCTCTACAGGAACTACACTGAGTAGAACTGTACAATCCGAGGCTTGCTGTGCTTGCGGACATTTGGTGACTGTGCGCAGGACTCGAGATGTGGTAGGTGGCTTAAGCCGATTTTGATTGAGGCAGTCCTAGCTGGCCCACAAGGGCTTAGGGGCGTTATGGCCTAGAGTTTAGGATCACCGAGACGAGCGGGGACAAGAAGAAGAAGAAGAGTCAGGAGCAAAGAAGAACAAATTAAGAGATAAGTTTGAGGTGCAAAGCTAGAGCGAAGATACTGGCTGGCGGCCTCCAATTTCCGAAAGCCCTCTTCCACGAAACCTTAATACTTACACCCCGGAAGATCCGCAATCAAAGTAATCAAAGTCCAAAAACCACTACCACAGAACGCTGAATCATTAGCAACAGCATCCCCGTATAGTCACTGCTAGAGATATAGGTTTGGGTACTCCGGACAAGCTTGTTCTAACATAGAAACCTATACTAAATAGTTAGCAACGTTGTTCGCTACGGTCCTGAATTATAACTATAGTATTAAGGAGCCCGAAACCCTACTCCAAGCAGTAAGGCCCGTACGTTACCTGTTAAGGCCCCCATATTCGGTCTTACACCCCAAAGACTCCTCACCCGCGGACGGTCATAATCAATTACGGCACACCGTGAGATTGCAACATACTATAACAGACCATGAAAAATACTATAACATACTAGAATAGACGGTAACATCCCACAACATACCATAATATACAGGATTATACTATAAGCAAAAAAATATAATCAACAGTAATATACCATAACATAGCATACATAACATACCAGAAGATAGCATAATATACTACTATACACTATGATACATCGATATTTCCCCTACTATGCTCCAATATACAACAACAAGGGGGGTTGCCGAAAATAGGGGACCCAATATAAGGCAGGAACCTTATTAAAAGGACCACAAAATAAGGTACCCTAATGTTCGGAAAGTCCAATATGCGCCAAACCCTGACAGCAGGTATTGCTCTGGTGGTGACCTGCGCGGCGAAATCTGTCGCCAGCGAGATGAGGCTGAGGCACAGGGGTTTAGGGTTTAGGGGTTCAGGGGTTTAGGGTTTAGGGGTTTAGGGCTCGGGGGGTTTGACTGTAAGGGGCTTCCGAAAGAAAATCGAGTTTTTGGGTAGCTGAACAATATTGCTATAAACCTAGGAACCCTAAAAAAAAGCTCCCGAAAGTCGTTGAGGCTTCTTGATTCAGCAGTTTTGAAACCCCTGCCTGAGCCTTAACTTCGAGACTTCCTTCCGGCGCAGGGCCAGAAGTTTGCTGAAGACCGGCTTCTTCGGTGCCGAGCTCGACTTCTGTGAGTAGTCAAGTATGTTACATATATTGTTCGTCTTTTATGATTATAGGTATGACTATTCTTCGCAGTATTGAGACTGTTGGTGCTGTTCCGTTGCTTCTGTCTTGTCCTTCTGGTTTTGAGCTGTAGTTGGTTTGCGGGGGTTTTGGGTTTGGGCGGTTTCTGTGTTCGGGGTTCCCGGTTGCTAGGACGGAGTGAAACTTTGCTGCGTTGGAAGCAGAGCCGGGTTCTAGGTTTTAGCAGTAGTACCCTTTTGGCCCTTTCTTTCTTTGGGGTTTCCTGATTGAGTTTGCCGCATACAGCGGCAGCCATTGCGTGCCAAAAAGGTCGAGTTCGATATACACCGATGACCTTGGTAGTTTGAAGGGCCGCATCGGGCCAGCGGCAGGAGCTGCAGTTTGTTCTGCCGTCTCGAGTTTGAGGTGCGAGCAGAACCCAGCTATGGAAGACTTGTGTAAGCGCGCTATGAAATTGTGGGACTTTGACAACGCAGTGGCAACCGGGAACCGTCGACATCAAATGCGCACAGGGCATGTCACACCGATTGCCGACCGCTCAAGGCTCGACAAGACATCCGGTTCAGAACTACCTCTCCCGTGCTGGCGGTTGCAGCGTGCGCAGTGGACTGCTACCTTTCCTCAGTCGTACGCCAGGGTCCGCGATTGACGCTTTGAGCACGATAACGCACCCGTCACAAACCGCGATGCTCGCGACGAGACGGTTCTTTGCCGCCGGCTTGGTGCCATACGGCCACGACATCTATGTTCTCGTACGCTCCGAACGAGGCCCTTTCATCTTGATAGCTCCGTGGCATAATTATCGCATGTTTTTTGCCTGGCTCCGCTACGGCAGCAGAGCCTTGCGATGCCCAGCACATGGACTCACACGGCATCTCTCTCTCTAAAGGGTTCCTTTGTTACAAAGGGGCGGCAGGGGAACCTAGGGTTGATATTCGCGGTTGGAGGCCGGCAGGTTCTTCAGAATCACAACATCCGTTAAGCCATGCGTTATTCGATTCAGGGTTTAGGTTTAGGGAATAAATGCGCATTACCCTAGAGCCGAAATTCGCTGAATCCTTGAACCTGAGTCACTACGCCTATGCCCCTAAACCTACACTTGCAGACTTTGAAGGAACTTGCGGAACATCCAAAGCCAACTCTCGGCTTCTAGCAACCCCGCAACCCCGAGAAAAGTAAACCCTGCCTGGGCTCCCTGTTCTGAGCTTCCTTATATGGATCCTGCTGACGACACGGGTTTCTGGGTCTGTTGTGTGTTTGAAGCCATGGGTCAAACTCTAGACCCATTGCATTGACCCTTTTGGTGCTTTATGGATTTAGGGTTTTAAGGTTTATGGATGAGGGGTTTAGGGGTTAGGGTCTAGGGAAAACCCTGAAGCCCTGAATCGGAAAACTTAAGCCACAAGGCAAAAACTCAACCATTTTTTTGCTGCTATTATGGAATTATAGGTCCCCAAAGCCATAATAAGGATGCTCTTTTGGGGCCCAATTGCATAATGGCAGTATATGACTCCTCAGGTGGGCGTCTCATATCGCGCTTGCTCTGCGGCACTGCCACTCGAGAGGAGCGTGATTTTGTTGGGATCTTTGCAGTCCGCCCGTGCGGTGTTTTTAGGTGGTTTTAGGGCACTTTCAAAGCGGTTTAGTGCGATTTCAAGGTGGTTTAGTGCGATTTCAAGGTGGTTTAGGGCGATTTCAAGGTGGTTTAGGGCACTTTGAGGTCTTAGGGTGTGGAGCTTAGTTTCAGGGTTTCGGGCGTAGGTCTGAGGGCTGGGTTTATGACTGAGGATGTAGAATCTTGGGCTTCAGGCTCCCCTCCGCATCAGAAGTCTCATGAGCATGCAAACATGCTCGCCCCTTAAAGGAATGAAGATGGGTTGTAATCCATTTCAGTCTTCGAGGCAATAGGGTTTGGGGGGTTTGGGATTGAGATTTCGAAGTGCTGAAGCATTCTGGGTTTGAGGATTGTTCATCGGGGTTTCTCAGGGTTTCAGAAAGGGTCTTGAATCCCAGGACGGTACACGCGCATGCGAAGCGCTGCATGAGCTCCGCATGATCTTAGGGGTGAAGAGCAGATTGGGGTGTGAGTAAGGAGAGTTTGCATCTGTTCTTCGGTTCTTGAGCTTGTCAGAAACAAGAAGCTTTACAAAGGGCCGAGGTTGATGGGATATGATAGACAGGTTTCCGGCAGATGCCTGTAGGACACCAAGCCGGCGAGGGCTGAGAGTTCAGAGTTTTGGAGCCTTTGGCACTGAACCAGACTGGGGTTTGGATGGAGGCGTTTCGCAGGTGTTGGATAATGTGAGGCTTGGTACCCAGACCACCGGAAGGATCCAAAAAGTAGATCCCCTAATTTGGGACCCTATACTACTAAGGGGTACTTTAAAGGAACCCCCTTAGGGGATCTATTTTCTAGATCCATCCGATGGTCTGGGTAAGGAGTCTCTCACATAGCATGTCCGACAAGAACGTTACCAATGAAGCGAAAGGTCTGAAAGCCGTCGAAGGACGACCCTAAAAACCTCCTCAGCCCTCATAAATTAAGTTTAGGGCTTGAGGGGTTTGAGAAGCCTAGACCCAAAACCCTAAACCCTGAGTATAGGGCCTTCAGGGCCCCCCTACTTTGGCCTTGCAGAAGTCTCGCAGGCATCCTGCATCGAGACGTGAAACCCGAGAACTGTTTTTTCCGATGCCCAGGTCGGAATCCGTGGGGTTGTATGGCGGGTAATATAGGGGCCTTCATAGTTACCTACGCTATTTTGGGGTGGCCTTGTATAGTTGTAGTATAACATATCATTAAGGCCCGTACAGTAGGGAGGTCTCGGCCTTGCGTACTTGTGCATGTCATGTAGACTAGTAACAAGCCCTCGGCCAGGATCGGGGGGTTCAGACAATTAATTAATTTAGGGAAAATATAGGGTTTCGATTAGGATTTCGGATAGGATCAGATTTCGGATTACGAATTAAAATAGGAGTAAAAATAGGATTAAAATAGGACGAAAATACACCCTTTTGGAGGGTTCGAATTTCGGCACAGGAGGTAAGCGTGTTTGTATTGTGATTGAAAGGTTCGCACTGCTCTTGGGCCCAGGCTGCTTAGCTAGTCCAGGGCCCAGGTGCAATGGGGGGAAAACCAAGCAGAGAAGTGCTGTGAGATCCTAGCGCAGCTGGACAAGCTGTTCCAGGAAGTGGACGATCTTCACAGCGAAACCGATACAAATCAGAGGCCAGAAGGTAGTGAGCCTGGGAATCGGGTGTGATGGGCCCAGCGCTGCTGGATCACACCCGTCAGTTAGGCCCGGAGCAGTTTTCAAGTTAAATATTCATGCTCAAAATTTACTCGAAAACACGGCCTCGCTTGCCGCTACCGCTACCGCTACCGCTGCTGCGACTGCTACTGCTACTGCGACCTGCATTTTGTGCTGGTCTGCACCAAAGCAAAATGGCTCGGAATAGAAGGGCTTTTTGGGGGGTGGAGCTTCTGGCTGGCC